GGTCCTGCATTCTGGCTAGGAACCTACGTGAGCAGTCAGACCTGGCGGACTGCTCTTCCCAGCAGATGTCTGGGAAGTTCAGGTCCCCCATGACTACCACATCCTTAGCCTTCACTACCTCCGTGAGCTGACCTAAGAATTCCTGGTCAAGCTCTTCCCCTTGGTTGGGAGGTCTGTAGTAGACCCCCACTGTTAAGTCTCTTTCCCCTCGACTGCCTTGTATTCTAACCCAAAGCACTTCAGTATATAGAGTCTCCTGTGTGGATCTGTGCTCTTCACTCATTGTCTCTGATGTGTTTCTGTAGTTGCCACCCTCATTATGACAGAGCCCTGTGCTTGTGTGTACTGTCTCCTGTTGGTCAGTAGCAAAATTGTCTTGTAAAAGTGGTAGAAATGGGTTTGGGAATCAGTACAGTCCGGGTCTTGGAAAGTACCTCTATTTGTTACATTGTAAAGTGGGTTCCCTTTATGCAAATTCAAGTTATATGCTGTCTTCCAGGAATGCATGTATAGCAAAAAGCAAGGGAAACCTGTATCAAGCATAACTGTACAACAGTTGAGTTGTATAATGAAGATCCTATGACCTTTTGCCTGTTAGGTTAGTATTGCACTTATGTGCCATTATCTCAGCATCTTGCGTATGGCAGACTATGTACTGTTTGAATGCACAGGGATTACTCTGACCCTTTTCACATACAGAGATCCACGTCACACTTGTGATCTAGCTTGTACTTCTTGCTGTTGCACACACTCAGAACAGAATATGACAATTCTTCCATTATTACTTCCATCCATTCTGCCCACCCCATAACATTAGAACAGGCTGCAATAGCCCTATAGACACATAGCCCTCATTCTCAAGCATTTCTGCCATCTTAAGGAATTATTCTTGATGACTGTGAAGGGTGGGAATGATATGCATGTCCCACACAGAGAGAGAGAGAACTCTAGCTGTGTAACCTGTGAATATCCTGAATCTCCAAGCTCCACTGGGGTTCTAGGTCCTGTCCCCGTAGTAAAGTCAGGCCATGCTTGGTGGTGATGAGAAGATTGCTGCAGTTGCTGTCTGAAGCCTTTACTGTTTGTAGAAACTCAACACCCCCACTACAAGAGACAGAAAACAGACACAAGCCCATTGCACACGTTCTATCTATTCATTTACATACTAATTCAGTGTAATCTGTAGAAGATTTTGTTTTAGATCTTTTCTGTGACTGAATTCCCACTTTGCCTCCCAATCTAAATCGAGACCTGCATTTTTTTCTGTGTCCTCAGCCATGTTAACAGGTTTCCCAGGTCCTGCCAATGCATGCATTCAACTCACCTTTCTGGGAGTTAGGTTAGAGACTGACAGATGCCCTAAGACCCTTGGCAAAACTGCTGGGCCCAAACAGAGCTCTTAAAAGGGACTCCTATTTATCTAGAAATGCTGCTTTTCTCCCCATGCATGTATATACAAAGGCAGATGGAGGTGTAAGAACAGGACATGGGCTTACAGAAACAAGAAGTTCCATTTATAAACATGGCATTTCTCCCACTGGTCACTCACTGCAGGAGTGACTGTCATGGACATCACCCTGGTGACTTTGAAGAAGAAAGATATTGAAGTGGAAGAGGCAATCTTTGGAAGAATCAGGAAGATTCTTTCTCCCTTCCCCCTCCAACTTATCCAGAATGATTAGACCATGTCCTACCTGTAAATGTCAATGAGTTCTGACAAGTTGACTGATCTGTGCTTCTCCCACTCTGGCTCTTCCTGTTGCAGCACTTGTGGGAAGATGCCGCGGATTCTGGCCTGGGCAAAGATATCCCTCACTGAAACTGCTTGGACATTACCTAGGAGGTAAGTAACAGATGAGGTAAAGATTGAGATTCCTGACCTCAGTCAGGGGCCAATTAGAGTCCCAGCAGTGTCAGAGACAACATGCAGGAACGGGGGGGATATTTTCCCAGGAGACGTGCTGCTAAAACACTAGTGGCTTGGGAAGCTCCAAGTGAGTCCTGTCCAAGCAAGAATCATTGCTCCTAATCTCCATTCCACATTCGATGCACAGCTTCCATCTTCTCCAACTCCATCATTTCCCAGAGGGAGACAGGGGCATGCTCTCAGCTATCTCGGTTTTAACGTGTCTTAAGAGAGAGATCAAAAAGAAGTGGAAAAGGCCAGTGATTCTAACTTACCAAAGCCAAACAGGATGTAAATGGCTCCTCGCCTGGTGATGTGGGCTTGGGGACCAATTAGTTTTCCTTCTCCATTGATGCTGTACTTCACAGGCCCACCTAGAGGGTTTCCAGTCTTTCCAGACAGTAAGATAAAGCACAGGTCAGGCTGCAAAGGGAAGAGATGCAGAAATTCTGATGGTTGACTCATGGACAATAAGAAGCAATGAAATGTAGCAGCATCTTTGATGTGATAAATCATTTGGTATCTCCTTTCTCCCACTCTCCTCTGTTCAGATGCCTTTGTGAAATGAGCTGGCAGCCCTAATGCAGTGCTTTATATTGAGAACTCCACATCACAAACTCTAGCCATCATACTAAGCACCTCCAGTATACAAATGGACTTTGAAAATTGACTTTTCTCAACCTTAAAGACAGTGCATCATAAATCACTGGGGCATGTTACACAGCAGTGGCAGAGTGCTCAATCTCACCTCTGAGGAAATATACCCCCACCCTTGCTTTGTGTCTGACAACCCAGGAAATGAGGGGCTAAAGACAATTTAGGGGTGCCTCAAGCCACTGCAAATTAAGTATGTTAGGAGCACAGGTCTTTTGTGAGATGCAAGGAATGTCCTCAGGGCATTCTCGTTGCCTTATTTCCAGAGTTGGCATGCAATGAGAAGGAGTGGGTGGTTGTATAAGCATATCCAGGGAAGATGCACAGGGAAGTCTGCAACATTATTACCATACCTGTGCTTCTCTTCTGTGGGAGAACAGGCATATCGTTCTCCAGGGCTCTCAGACCAGCATTTTTCCCTTGTGTAAAAATTCATTTTTCAAAACAAAAACCATTACTACTAATGGGGGAAGCACAAAACAGAGAGCAATTCACAAGACTTAGCCAGTGAACAATGAATAATTTGACAATTATCTTAATTATGTCTTCTGATAAAAGACAAAGACAATGCAATTATTGCTTGGTCTCATTATCCTCCTAAGCCAGAGAAGGATGCCAGGTGTATACCTGGGGGGAATCTATTTGGACTGGGGATCTTTTGCCATTCTCTAACTACACTGCCTTTAAATCATGCTAGCTGTTTGCCAAAAATTAAGCTTCTTCCAGATTTCTACTGGGGATATAATGTACCTGCGTCTCCCCAATGGCCAGGACTACCAGATCTCCAATCCCATCTCCATCCACATCTGGCAGCGTAACAGCTGGTGCAGCCAGAGTCCCACTTGGCAGGTGGTCAGGGTTTAGTCTCCAGATGGTTTTTCCTTTGGGAGAACACAAGCGAGCACAACAGCATTTCACAACAGCAAGATTAACAGGAGACCCCTAGGAATTCAACAAAGTGTTCCTGAAGTATGAAGAGAGGGAAAGTCAATTTTCCCCAACAACCTAACTAACCCAACCTAGAGGAGGTTGAGACTTTCCAGAATGGACAGAAGTGTTTTCCTCCTTGTTTCTTCATGTAGGCTTTGAGTCACCACCTGCCAATGCTTTCTGTCCCCCACCCTGGGGATTTCTCTATATAGAACTGTGACTGCAACTCTTACTGAAGTAGAGGGATATTTTTCAAGATCACTTCTTGGGATCAAATCATAAATAAGAGTAAAGCTCTGCATGACACCAACTGTTCTAACTGGCTGGCAGCAAAGCTTGTTTGCTGATGGGACAACCATGAAAAAAACTCCTGGGAAATGGAACAGATGGGACTTGATTGTTAAAAGGACAGACCCTGAAAATGGGAATCTGTGCGTCAGTTCATTTTCCAGCAGGAAACAGCTACTATCATGCTCTTTCCACTTGGGGGATAAAAATATGTTAGCAGAATTAATTTTAAACATGCTTTGTCAGTCTACTGACCAACTATATTTATTGATATAGGAGTCTGGTAAAAATACAATTTACACACTTTCAAATTTTAAAAGAAAATCACCCTCAAAGTAATTCCAGCTCCTTTACTTCCTGCACCCTCACCATCCCACCCTAGCCCCCTCACACTCATATGCCAAAGACTATGCGTTTACAAGCACACTTAAAATTCCCCTTCTGCTGTGAGGAAGCCTGAGCCTTTCTACATAATACAGAAAAGCAAGGGGTAGACTGGCAAACACTTAAGCTCGTGAGAAATGTTACTCACATGAGTAGTCCCACCAAGTTTAGAAAGACTCTTCTTTGCCCTGGTCTTGCACACATGCATGTGAAGTGCCATTAAAATTAATTCACTATAAATATTTGAAAGTTGAGTGGTATTGGTTAGCTGGTTAGCTTCCAGTGGACACAGATCTCCTGCGACAGTTTTCTCTTCCATAGTTAGCACTAAGATTTCATTGAAAATGTCCATGTATTTTCATTCAAATTTCAAGAATACTTTCTGATCTTTGCTTATAATTCACTGTTTATGTTAACATTCCCATTAATAAAATTTACTTGCTCAGATAATCACAGGGAACAAACCCCAGAGGGATGTGAACAAAATCAAAGTGATTCCAGATGCAATATTTATTTAGATCAAGTAAGTGCTATAGACTTCAATTCTCCTGAAGATTTAACTGGCTACAGTAGACTTCCTCACCTCTTTCCCCAGAACTATTGTGTAGTGTTTCTGTATGCAGAAAACCAGCTATGGAAATTTCACTATATAGGTGGATATGTTTCAGTGGTTGATAAAGTGACAATTGGCATATCCTTACATCTATTTCACAGAGATATTGTAGAGATACATTAAAGTCTTAAAGCTCTTTGACAATGCTGGATCAAGGAATTGCTATCAATATGTGAAGGATTAGATTATGTTATTCTTTGTCACCTGAATTCATTGGTGATTAGATTATCTTCTGGGTTACTCTACAGCGGGCTTTTCACTATGTTACCACCATGAAGCACTGTGGCTGAATTATTCAGGGTGATGGGTATATCCATATGTTTGCATCAGGATATCTACCTGTGGAAGCACTGAGAAGGCTGAGGAATTTAGATGTTCCAGTCACCAAGCAGACTGGCTCTGCTGTGGCCGTGTGAGTCAGTCCTTTGCACTGTACACTCCGAGTGTCCTCTGGAATGTGGATGGACCACAATGTGCTTCCATTCATGCCCGAAAGGGCCACTACAGTTACCGAGGGCCTGGAGACGCCTGAAAACATAGAGGGGAGGCAGTGAAGTGCTTTAGTATCTAATAAAGGAATGGCCAAATAGAAAAAACAAATCAGTCTTCAGGGGATAGGCTGCTACTCTGCAGTGGTCTAGAGTAGAAAAAGTGAAAGTCACTGGATCCACAAGAACCCCATAAGACTGGGAATTTCAATCCTCAGTTAGCTGACGGAAATGGAATTGGTAGGCAGCTGGTGTGGAGGGGACATGAAATTATGGATCTCTGGGTGGTTGGCAAAGGAACAAAATTGTTTCCATACCTGAGCGAACTACATTGCGTAATTCAATTTGTCATCCTTTGTGCTTTCATACCAGATTAGCTGTTAAATAATGGGTCTTTCAGACCCTTCATCCTGCTGCTGGAAATTGTAAACCATCCACAAAGAACCAAATAATTATTCAGACGGTCCTACACGTGCTGCAATTCTGAAGGAGCAAAATTGTGCACTACACTCTAAGCTTTTTGAATTTGTATGTGAAAGCCTGAAGTGCATGTGAACCAGTGCACTATTTTCCTGAGTTTCAAAACAGTGAACCATAACCATTATGTGAATGCAAAGTGCACAAAGTTGTTTTAACAGAATGTAAGCTCTGATTTCTAACAATGCCAAATTTAATGTAACCTGATATAAGATATCATTTCAACATAAGGTGGGAATGAACTACTTGGGCCATCAAGTCCAGTCCCCTACAGCCACGGGGAATACTGAAAACCAACATCCAGCTAATGTGCTTATGCTGTGGTCCTCAGATGAAGTTCTCTGAAAATTCCCTGAAACATCCCTATTCACCTCTATTCATTGGTAAAACACCCAATCTTCCCCAAACTTGTGGAGTCAATACAAAAATCTGCAATGTATAACATGACAATGTGGGTACAATGTAAATTAAGCAGAATTGAATGACAATTAATCATCCAGCCTGCAGACTGAATGATTGATTTTCATGTTTAACTTACTAAAACCTCATTTTTTTTTAATTGACATGATGGTACCATAAGGTTTTTTACTTGCTGCTATGGAATCCCTCAGGCTATGTGGAGCTTGCTATACAAACTGGCTAGTCATGTAGTATGTGGGGCCTGGTTTATGTGACATCACGCTAATGAAGGAATGAAAATGTCTGCCCTAGCTAATTATATTCACACTATGGCTATGACTGCAATGCTTTAGCATTGGTTGTTTCATGATGTTTCTGATTCACTCCTGCCTGAGATCATCTTATACACAACATAATATGTCCTCACCCATTGACAAGCTCAACCCCTGGCCTGCTGAGTGATTTTGGACAAATCACTCAGCCTCTCCACATCTGAGTTTCACCATCTGTAAAATGGGGATAATAATCCTGACCTCCTTTGTAAAGGTCTGCTGGCATAAAGCTCTAGCTGAGAGAGAGAAATGATTTGTTGTTAATATTTTGGTAGTCCACTGTGGCTTCAGTCAGGGACAAGAGACCACCTTAGATTGGGCAAGGCTCAAACTCAGCACAAATGATGGCCTAGGATCAAAAAGCTTGCTGTTTAAGTAAGAAAAAATAGGTGGATGCAACAAATAGCCAGGGGAACACAAGCTGCCAATGAGATTATGAACAGCATGATCAGCAGTAGGCACAAGTGCACCAGGTGCCTAATCACAAGGAAGCTTTCTACAGGAATTATGGAAAAGGTGACCACACTGGGGAGCTTAGATTCTAAAGGATCTTCTCTCATGCATAAAGGGCAGCAAGGGAGAACATGTAAAGGTCCCAGTTGGAAGGCCTAACAAACAATCAAGGGTAGCATTCTTGGTGGAGCAAAAGCAACAGTTGACACAGGCCAGTGCGCTTACCCATGACACTAGCATTCATCAGGGCAGCAAAGGAGAGCAGGATGTCAGGAAGCCCATCACCATTCACGTCAGAGAGTTCCAGTGGAAACAGTACCCCACCTGAAACAGTCCGAAACCCCAAGAAGTTACAATCAGAATGACCACCAACCCCATTCTCCACTGTGGAATGAAGACTGGCAAGAAAGAAAAGGGCTTGACCATCCAATCACTGTGGAACCTACGAGGAAACCACTGAAATGGTGATTTGACCCCAGCAATCTTTCCTGCCCAGATCAGGGGGACTGGACCCCATGATTTCATGAGGTCCCTTCCAGCTTGAAACGTCTGTGAATCTGTGAAATGAAGCAGCTGTTTCTCCCTTCCCACACAACAGAAATACAGCATCCAAGTCAGAGAAAGAAACAGTACAGCTCACAAGATCTGACAGAGACAAGAGAGCTGCGTCTCACTTTATTTACAAAGATGATCTGGGAGCCACATCTGACTGGATCCCAAGATCCTGGAAGTGGGAGGCAGAAAGCAGGGAAAGAGACAGAGGCACATGTGGGCCTCATAGAAATCATATTACAGATCACTGCTGCTTTACTGCAGATACCAAAATGACAGGGAGACACTTCAAAAATACCACAGATTGGACAGATAATTTGTGCCTGAGAGCTGGTCCCAGAACATGCAGCTAATCTATGGATGTAATTAGAAGAGAAGAATGCCAAGGAAACAAACTTATTTTAGCTAACTTAGGGAAACAAAGGCTAGGGACAGGTATTACATATAAACTGGTTTAAGTGATCAGAAATTGGTTTAAACTTGTAATAGAACAGATGTTCAGTACATATAAACCAGTTTGAAAATGGCTGAAACTGGTTTGAGATAAACCTGGTTGAATGTAGTATCAGACTTAACTGATTTGGTTCAAACCAGTATATGCAATGTCTGTGTCAGACCCCTTGCTGGTTTAAGATAAACCAGATCCCCCAGCAGCTCGCCATGCTGTCTGGGCTGGGCAGGGCTCCCTGCTCCACAGCAGGGCTGGCCCTTCCCCTCTGCTTCCTGGCTGGAGCTCAGCAGAGACTGAAGGTACAGCAGGGTCTGCCTGGCTTCTCCCTGCCCTCCCTCGCTCCCCCGCCACCACATCTTGCACCTGAAGCAGGAATCCCTCCTGCCTCAGCACAGACCCTAGCCTCACGGACCCTAGGCATGTGGTATGCTAGCTAATGCTGAGGGATGTCTGTGTATGTCTCCAATTTTACTGGCACAAGCAGACAGAACAGTGACCCCTTAGGGCTTTTTGGAGCTAATCAATAGGTCAGCTGGTAAGTTGTTTAAGAAGAGTCTGAACTAATGGAGAGAGGCTATTGTTTTGCTGATGGGGTTAAAACACTGTTATCAGCCCCCTGCTAGCTTGCTTGCCTGTCTGTTTGCTGCATGCAGTATACAGAAGCAGGGAGAGGGAGATTGAAAAGCTCCATTTCATCAACAGATGCAAGCACTGCACACCTTCCCCTTGCCTCAGAGTGCTAGTAGGGGGCTGGCAATACTTCTGCCCCTTGAGCAGCCAACAGGGAAAAGGCTGGGAGGTGCAAGCAGGGTGGGGGTTTACACCCCTGCCTAATCAGAGGTCCTACCCAGGCCTGGCCATGTCCCCCCTCAGCTCAGCACTCTGGAAGGAAAGGGAGGGCTACTCTAGCATCCCCCAGCTTCTAGCCTGAGCCACTGCAGGCGTGTGCCTGAATTTCCTCAGTCCTCATGTCTGTCCAGTTACAAACCAATTCAGCCTAGCCAGGTTAGACTAACCTGCAAAGATTGAATCAATTCAGGCTCAGGCTTTTTGAATGTCTCTCCCTAGCCAAGAACAGACCTCTCACTCAAAGAAGAAGGACCTTGTGGAGTGTTAAGTTTACATAAGGAGCTACTGGGTCCAAAGGGAACTATCCGTCTCTACTTGGAGAGAGTTCCAAAATGGCTAACCCCATACAGACTGAGGGATAAAGCAGGCAAAGAATCAGAAGAGAATGGTTATTTTATTGGTGTGCAAACTAAACTCTTTGTTGGCCCTGAGATTTATCTTCTATTGCCCATGAAACATACCATGTTTAACAGGTATCACCCCAAAGCGAGAGGCAGGCCACATCAGCCATGTGCCTATCTGTGGCTTCAGAGCATCTGCAGCGGTGAAGAAAGGATTGCTTCACTACTTCTGTCCTCTAAGCAAACTCTCCCAGACAGGTCTCTCCCTCGGCACACACCCTGTCAGCTGTCCTTCCCTGCTCCCACAAAATTACTGCTTCTCGGGATTTCTCACCTGCTTCCTGACCCAGGTGGTGCATCCAGGTGTTATGCAAATCCCTAGGAGGACAAGGAATTAGAAAAGCACAGACCAGCACCAGAATCATAGAGATAACCATGGTGAGGAGAAAGACCGCTGTGCGCAAGTAAGGCATCAGGGAGGTGGCCGCCTTCTGCTCCAGGCCAATGGCAGCCTCTGCAGGGTACCTCTCAGCTGTGCTCTCTGAGGGGTGCTGTTTTGTCATCCCCACCTCCACATCCGAGTCTGCGTCCTGCACCTCTTCCAGGGCGCTCTTCCCATTCTTGACTCCTCCATTCTTCTGCAGGTTGAGCACAAGGTCATCTTCACTCTCATCACTGTCGGCCTGAGTGAGAGGATCATACTCCCCTAGGTCTGGGCTCTTTTTTCCTGAGGAGAGAAACAGGGAGGGATAAAGAAAGGGGAGGAAAGAAAGAAAAACATTCTTGACAAGGTTGGGTCCCAAGACTAAGGGGCATGTGAGAGAGGAATAGATGTCTGTATTTGGAATATATACATATGACGGATGCCTCTGGAGGGGCCCAATGTGCATTGTGCATGTATATATATTCACAAGGTCTCAGAGTGGAGGCTACAGAAAAACAGATCCCAACTGTTTTATCTTCCCCAAGGAACATAAAATCAGGATTTACTTAATTCCCTCTAATGCTTTCCTGTTCTATAATGAGAAACAGTTCTGTGGAGCTACCATACCAGATTTTTACGTTTAACTCACTTCATTTCCAATGCCCAACCTCTTCTCAGCTCTCTTCTGACTCCAGATTAGTACCTATTCTCAAAACTATAATCACAAAGAAACTTCTCTTCACTTGGTAGGTTTTAGATTACATCAACTGCAGGGTCCTCTCTATCATATTCTTCACTCTTCTCCTGCCTGATCCAGTCACTGATTATGACATCAATGACATAATTATTTATGTGGGAATGAGTTGTGCTGCCAGATGCTACACTGGGCCTTGAGATGTTTAAAAGGATGCTCATAAGCCCTAAATCACTATACATCAAATGTGAAAATGCAGATTAACTGTAACTGGTCTCAGAGACTAATGATGACAGGAAATGTGCCAAAGAGAAGAAATTAAAACCTTCAGGCTCTTACAATAACATTAACTAAGCCAAACTGCAAAAACATAGCTTTTTCTTAAATTTCTTTTTACTCTCTCAATGCACAGTGTAGCACGCAGCTGCTCCATTACTTAAGGCATACTATAAAAGATACAGTCTGTGCCACGTGGTAGAGTTAATTTTACAGCAGTTATGCTTAGTTTCCCCAGTGGTAAAAAGATTCCAGCATCTTGAGAGATAGACTTAATAAAGGATACTGTCCAAACTAGTAATATTTCTCAACCTAGGAGAAATGTTTTAAGTACATTTGGTATACCATAAAAGAGTCCTCATTTATTCATCTCATTCTAAATTTGTAGCTTTAATGTTAAAATTAAGGCAAAAATTAGAATTTAAATATATTTAAAAAAACAAATACTGCAAGTCACAGCAAATCTTTACTGTCCCCATCAAAATGGAAGCAGCCATGGTTAAAACAATATCAACTAATGGGTTCCTCACAAAGAAAGCATCACCTTTTAGCTAAGCTCAGTTATTTAAACCAATTATAACCACTTGTGTTCTGAACTATTTGCATCCACACACAGACTTGCACTGATGTGACTAAATCTGTTTTCATTCACATTTAAGGTCCATGTAGGAGCTAAACCTTGCATTCAGTTTCTGCATTGTGATCAGCATGGAACCACAGTGACTGCAATGGCACTCTATGCCCACCCACTGGTCTGCATGCAGAGATCACAATGCAAGAGAGAAGCTTCAGCCCCACCAATATGAATATTTTTGGAGTTATGCCTGCAAGCTGGGCCTCATCCAATGAATGGGACATTAACATAAAGAGAATTTAGAACACGTAAAAGATTCTCAATTGTAAACTGAAGATGGAAATACTGTGCTTATTCATAGAGAAGTTACATCATATGACTCCTGTTCTAAAGGCCACCTATGGGTGACAGAAGAGCTCTAAGCCCATGGTCCATTCAGTTCATGACCATGGTATGCATCAGGTGCCCAGCCAGGCGTCACCCATGGTGGAGGTTCTGAAATGAGGACTTTTTTTGTACTTAGGGATCTGAGGTGGATTCTATCTCATTAAATGAACTATTGACTTTCAGTAAGGAATTCAATATTAATTTTTTAAGGCCAGCACTAAAAACAGTCTTTAGCATTTATAATGGAACATGGATATAATTTAGACCCCAAAATCCAAAACAGAAACCTTGAATATCTCTGTCTAGCTGCTGCGTAACTCTAGAGGCATGTAGAATCCCTGGATGCTTTGTTTCCAGCTCTGGTGAACAGCTCAGCACCCAGATCACACCTAAGCCTGATAAGGTGCCAGAACCACTCTGGAAGCTTGATCCAGTGGCCAGGGGTGACTGGTGCCTCCTGAGTTTAGGGGGGCACAATTTGTGGGCAGGCCCAGGGATGGGCCAAAAGCCCTGTATTCACTCAAAAAACTTCTGTGCTGTGGCTTAGTGCCACCCCTCTCCCTCAACACACCGCCAGCCCACATAGCAAAAAAACTGCCCCGTCCTGAGCGGTGCCAAGTCAGGGGACAACATCAGGGGGGGCATGTGCCTCCACACCCCCCCCCACCAGTTGCCTGTGCCAGTGGCCATTCTCAGGGCATACCTACCAGATCTGGCTCTGTACAAAATACAATGGCAGCTACCACGTTTTTTAATATCTAAAGAGAGGAAGAAGGTGCACTGTTGTCCCACCTTTTACACAATAGCCAATTCATTCTGAGTATGCGCTCTAGGTAAGGAGGCATGAGTTCAATGCTATCCTCTGCATGAGGGGATTCAAAATCACATCTCCCACCTCCATGGAGAGTGCCCTAACTACCAGGCTAGAGACATTTTTGGGGTGGGGAGTGTTTTCTGTGTCCTCTACCTTTCCTGTTGAAATAACTTTGCACAGTAGAGTAGCCTCCAGTTTCATTGGGCCAGAACTAGGGAACAGAAGGGACATGAGTCTATAACTTAGTGGTTAGATCATTTGTGAAGATGGGGTGTGACCCAGGTTTTCATCCTTGCTCCAAGGACCGTTTGTTCCGTATCACGAAACACAACTGTCCACAGTCAAAAGAATAATTATGATTTTATTTTCTCAATTTGTCAGATGCTTCTGAATTTCAGGCAAGATTACACATGCAACTACATCTCCAATTGGTGATAGTTAAAGTAGCAAAACCCCATTACCTCACCAAACTACAGTGATATTAAGTCAGGGAACCAGGCTTCTGAAAATATTTTAGAGAGACGGATATAAATAGAATTAAGTAATTTATACAAATGAAGGCAGTCACTCCACTTAAGGAACTTGATTTATTGAGAAGTACTTTGGAGATCAAACTCTGCCTTCTGATCACTGGTCCAAGACTGGAGATTAGAGATGACTGGTCTTCCAAAAAGTGTCTTAAAACTTTCTGGCCATGAATTACCAGTAATCAGAAAATCTGGTATCTTATACAGTCTTAGATGTAGAAAAGAATCTCAGCTTTCCAACAGCCTTACAGCAAATTCTCAGTTCTGGTTTGTGGATAGCCAGTGGTTTGTGGAACATTTGCTGTTGGTCCGTGGTCAAGTGATTGGTCACAGACACCTGATCAAATACCAAGAAGAATATTTTTGAAAGTAGAAGTAGGAATGAGTTGCCCAACCACTGTTGACTTCAGTAGTTGTTAGCAGAAGCAGAAGTGGGAATGAGTTGCCAAACCCTCGTTAACTTCAGTGAGAGTTGGGTTCCTAGCAGCCCATTGTGCCTTTGAAAATGCCCTGAACACTATCCTAATATTAATTTCCTACATAAGCAGTCACTGTGTTTGGCACAGGGATGTTATGTAAACTTGAACTGGAGAAGAAACAGTCCATCTGATTATTAATCAGCAGGAAGGCATCCAGGAGGCAATCTCTATATTAAGACTAAGTTCATTTTATAAAGGATTCTTTTCGAGCACTGACGGCTTGGGAGAGATCAAATTGTCACTGACCTCTCGGTCCACTGTAGTGCTTTTTTCTTAGCACTGCTTCTTGGATTAAATGGAACAAATCCTAGACTTTGGAACAGTATTTTTTTTATTCTTGTTTCTCTTGATTTTAGACAAGAGCCCAGTTCCAAATCCTTTCAACACTCTTCAGTCCTGTGATCATCTATTTTTTTTTGCTGTTATGAGTTGGCAGACACTACTTGCTGAGTCCATCACACATCTCGCTATGCTCTTGGAAAGATAAGTTACCACATATTTGTGTGATTAATGTAACAAGAAGCAGAAAGAAAATCAGCCATAACAAGAAAATTTTGGACTTCCTGCTGATTTATCAAGCTTCATTTACAGTGCGTTAATCACACAAGTAAGATCTTTAATGTGCAAATTAATTTGAGTAAAGATAAGAAATGTTTACGTAAGTTTATAAGTGTTACAACCTGCAGTTTATACTTTCTCTTTTCCTGAGAAGTGTTGAGCACCTGTTCCTCCAATTTAGTTAAACAATAGCCGCGTTTAACCGAGATTAGTAGATCACAAATCATCTTTTGAATTATACTGAGAACAAACTGTCCCATAAATTAAAAACAAACAATTGCAGTAAAGCTCCACTTTTGCAGAAGGCTTCCAATGCCCGAGGTCAGACCTTGTGAAGGCCACTGTGATCTTCACGGCCCAATAGACAAAGATCACGTCACCAGCTTATATTACTCCACTTCAGACAAGGAAGCACTGTGCAAATGACAGGGCCTAGAAGACAAGTGGAGTGGCAGTAGCCAGTACCTGGCATGGTAACTGTGTTCCTGGGCTTTCCCAGGTGATGCAAAGGTGGACAAAGGCACTTTCCCATTGGCCAAATATTGCTACCTACATTGGCAAAAACCACTAGGAAAACTTGTCCAGTCTAGTCTACAGATAACTATACACTTGCAAGGTCTGTTTTCTGCACATTGCAATTCCTTCTTGACTTCCACAGAGAAACGTAATTTGCTGTAATTATATGTCTGAAATGCTTGCTTCTTCACAACAACTGTCCAATTGCTTGACTCCCCTCTACAACCTGTGAGAGGGGGTAGATAGTCATGTCAGGCAGAAGGCAGGGCACAGCGGCACCTTAGAGACTAAATCAGAGATGTACAGCACGAGCTTCCATAAGCTTCAGGCTTACTTCGTCAGATGCTGTGCTCCGAGCACCCAGTTACAGATACGTGCTCTCTGTTTATATAGAAGCTGCTCTGACCATTTGTAGACAGGGCGGGCTAGAAATTTAAATAGTAACATTAATAGCAACAGTAATATCTTGTCTCTCATT